AAGCAATAGTCTCCATCTCTCTTCCTCTAATTCTACCTTTCAAATAAACAATAAATAAATCCTTAAAAATATAGAACCTAAGAAGTTGAACATTGATTTGAGCAAGAAATTAGAGCGGTCATGGAGAGTTTTACAGTCCCCTTGGCCTTGAGCCTGTTCCCTTGGTCTGCTGTCTGGTCCCCTCACCCTAAAAAGGGCCCTAGGTGCTTGGGTCCCTGTACCCATGTGGGAGACCTGGAAGAAGCTCCTGGCTCCTGGCTTTGGATCAGTGCAGCTCTGACTGTTGAGGCCATTTGGGGAGTGAACCAGTGGATGGAAAACCTTGCTCTCTGTCTCTTCCTCTCATTGTATGTAACTCTGCCTTTCAAATAAATAAATAAAATCTTTAAAAAAATAAAACATGCCTGCACTGGAACTGTACTTTGACCAGACCCCAGTTGCCATTGGGCTGGCCCTCCTTTTACAAGAGACATCATCGTTTTCACAGTTCCTCAGGCTCAGAACTAGGAAGTCATCCTGGATTCCTCGTTCTTTTGGTCCTTCACATCCAGCTAGTTACAAGCTAAGTTCCTCCTAAACAGCGTCTACCTCTTTCTTGCATTCCATCCTTGTTTCTTCCTCTTGTCTGCAGGTTCTTCTTATCATTAATTGTGACCACTACAAGCAGTCTTCTTTTTTTTTTTTTTAATTTTTTTTTGACAGGCAGAGTGGACAGTGAGAGAGAGACAGAGAGAAAGGTCTTCCTTTTACCGTTGGTTCACCCTCTAATGGCTGCTGCGGCCGAAGCACTACGCCGATCCAAAGCCAGGAGCCAGGCGCTTCCTACTGGTCTCCCATGCAGGTACAGGACCCAAGCACTTGGGCCATCCTCCACTGCACTCCCGGGCCACAGCAGAGAGCTGGCTTGGAAGAGGGGCAACTGGGACAGAATCTGGCGCCCCAACCGGGACTAGAACCCGGTGTGCTGACGCCGCAGGCGGAGGATTAGCCTATTGAGCCATGGCACTGGCCTACTACAAGCAGTCTTTAAACTTTTATCCTTGACTACATCTTTTGCCATTGCAATCCTACATCAATCTTAAAACACTTCTCTGCACCTAGCATCTACTTCTTCAAAAAGTCTTTATAGTTATTTAGTTTCCACAAATTGAGTCTTAACTTTTTAGTTAAGTCAGAACCTTTCATAATTCCATTTAGAGCCAACCTTATTTTCTGCTATTCTCTTACAAAACCTTCATTTAATTGCTTTTCTCACTAGTCCTTGAACATGCCTTTCATGTTCTTTCAAGACTTTCAATCTTTTTTTTTTTTTTTTTTTATCTAAGTCCTATTTTGTCTTCAAGGGTCAGCTGAAGTTTTAGCTCAACTTCCCACTGATCCTACTCAAAATTGATTTCTTTTATGACACCTTTTTTTTTTTTTTTGACAGGCAGAGTGGACAGTGAGAGAGAGAGAGACAGAGAGAAAGGTCTTCCTTTGCTGTTGGTTCACCCTCCAATGGCTGCCACGGCTGGCATGCTGCGGCTGGCGCACCGCGCTGATCCGATGGCAGGAGCCAGGTGCTTCCTCCTGGTCTCCCATGGGGTGCAGGGCCCAAGGACTTGGGCCATCCTCCACTGTACTCCCTGGCCACAGCAGAGAGCTGGCCTGGAAGAGGGGCAACTGGGACAGAATCTGGCGCCCCGACTGGGACTAGAACCTGGTGTGCCGGCGCCGCTAGGCGGAGGATTAGCCTAGTGAGCTGCAGTGACACTTCTTATATCACACCATTTTCTCTACATGTACCTTATATTGTAATTTTATGCCTTCATTCATTCAACAAAATGCATTGACCATTGCTATTTATAGAACACAATGCTAGATACAGCATGCACAAAGATGGTATCTTGTTTAGTTTGACTAAGTAGAATATAAGACATTTGAGAGCAGAAACTCTTATTTCCCTTTGTATTTTCAGTGCTAATCAGTACCTTCCACAGAAAATGTGCATAACATGTATTTATTTCTATTAGAGGTGATGATAAAGATGATAGTTTCTTTTTCTAACAATAATGAAAAAAATAGAGGTGAGCAAAATTTTACTCAATGCACTTCACAGAATTCTACTAGATATTTAAATAAGGAAGATACTACTGTTCATCCTTCTGTTAGTTTTAGTACTATAGAAGCTCATTTTACTCATAAAGCTATAAATGCTTTAAAGCCTTCAGGCCATTCTTCAGATTGTTTCTGGGATTGTACTAGGAAGTAAAGTACCCCTTTGAGTCATTTAAAGTTAATTTAATTTTATGTTGAGAGAGCAAGGGAGGAAGTGAACATTGCCCCATGTGCTGGCTCACTCCCCAAATACCTATGGCCAGGATTTGAGGAGGCAGAAGCTGGGGGAGCTAGGACTTCAATCCAAACACACGTCAGCCAAAAGCTAGAATTGGGAATAGAGCTGGGATTTAAACCCAGGCACATGGATATGGGATGCAGGTGTCCCAACCACTAGGCCACACACACACACATTTTCATTGGAAAATTTTAATAATAACATACTCACATACACACATAACACACTCTCATAAACACATGTATATGAATATGCTGTAAGAATCCTCTAAGTTCCTAAAAAATTAAAAATAGAACTACCTTATGATTCATCAATCCCAGTACTGGATATATATATATATATATATATATATATATATATATATATATCCAAAGGAAATAAAATCTGTGGAGGAGACATCTGCACTTCCATTTTTTTGAAGCACAATTCACAATAGCCAAGAAATGGAGCCTGTGCCGTGGCTCACTAGGCTAATCCTCCGCCTGCGGCGCCAGCACCAGGGCTTCTAGTCCCGGTTGGGGCGCCGTATTCTGTCCCAGTTGCTCCTCTTCCAGTCCAGCTCTCTGCTGTGGCCAGGCAGTGCAGTGGAGGATGGCCCAGGTCCTTGGGCCCTGCACCCACATGGAAGACCAGGAGGAAGTACCTGGCTCCTGGCTTCCGATCGGTATGGTGCACCGCCGTAGCAGCCATTTGGGGAGTGAACCAACGGAAGGAAGACCTTTCTCTCTCTCACTGTCTAACTCTGCCTGTCAAAAAAAAAAAAAAAAAAAAAAAAAAAGGAAATAGCCTAAGTGTCTATTAAACAACATATATTTATACACACACACACACACAAACACACATACACACACTGGATTACTATTCAGCCTTAAAAAGGATGAAGTCCTGTCCTTTTTGACAACATGGATAGAACTGGAAGTCATTATGTTAAGTGAAATAAGGAGGCACGGAAAGACAAATACTGCATGGTCTCACTCATACATGAAATCAAAAGCAGTTTATTTCATAGAAGTTGAGAGTAGAATAGTCGTTTCAAGAGGCTGGGGAGAATAGAAGGGAAAGAGATACAGGTGCCTCAATAATGGGTACTAAGTTATAGTTAGGAGAAAAAAGTTCTGTTGCACAGTACAGTGACTGTAGATAATTATGTATGTTTCAAGAAAAGCTTGGGGCCGGCACCGAGGCTCACTTGGTTAATCGTCCACCTGTGGCGCCGGCATCCCATATGGGCCCTGGGTTCTAGTCCTGGTTGCTCCTCTTCCAGTCCAGCTCTCTGCTGTGGCCCGGGAAGGCAGTGGAGGATGGCCCAAGTGCTTGGGACCCTGCACCCACATGGGAGACCAGGAGGAAGCACCTGGCTCCTGGCTTCGGATCGTTGCAGAGCCGGCCGTAGTGGCCATTTGGGGAGTGAACCAACGGAAGGAAGACCTCTTTCTCTCTCTCTCTCTAACTCTACTTGTTAAATTAAAAAAAAAAAAAAAAGAAAAGCTGGAAGAAAACATTTTGATTGCTTTTTAGCATAGAGAAATGAGAAATGTTTGAGGAGATAGATATGGTTATCCTGATTTGAACATTATACAATATATACATGTATAACGTTACCACAAAGCATTTCATAAATAAGTACAATTTTTATGTGTCAGTTAAAAGAAAATGCATATTTGTGAAATTATAGTTGCAAAAATGAATAATTTTATGGCTAGGATAAGAAAAGCATATGTGAATTCTTAAAGTGAACACGAATATATTCGGTCAACAATCAGTCATATACCAGAAGGGAAATGTAGGCATTATTTTAATGACCCCAACAGGTTGGTCAAAAAGCTTCCTGCAGAAGCTAGGTTGAAAGGTGGGAAGAGACTCAAATTGTCTCCTGCTATGGAAAAAAAGGGTTTTTTCCAAAGAAGGGTAATAATAGTTAAGTTTTATCAGTTGTTTAGTAGGTGCCAGATACCTTTTTGAATAGATTATTTTGCATTATCTCCTCTGAGCCTTAAATCAACTCTGTGAGTAAGCACCATTAGAATCCCCATTCTACAGATGAGGACATTGAGATACGGAAAAGTTGATCAACTTGCCACAGTTAGTGACAGAGCATACGTTCAGGACCCAGTTACTATGACAGACTCCAGAGCTCAATGCTTAATGATTCTCCTGTGGATACGTAAAGATCACAAGAAAACATAATATGGGGAAGGCTGGAAGGTATGGTTGGAGGGTGTGGAGTGAGAGAGGAGAGAAGGAGAGACTGGGAAGTATAAGCCATTTTGTTTTCTGAGTGAAGCTTTGAAGGTAAAGGTAGAGAGTGGAAGGTGACAAGTGAGTTTATTTGCAATAAAGGGGATAACTTTGCATTGAGATAAAAATAACATTTCATTCTCCTAAAATAAGTATGCTGCCATGGAGATTTCATTTAACATTATTTGAGATATTCTTGTAAAATTCTGAGGTGGGGGTTAGTAGGGGATAGACAGAAAGAATCGAGTAGAAATAATTATAAACACCATAACACAGGGCACAGGGATATTTCAAAGGGTCTCCTCCTACTGCACTATTGGTACTTTACTCTCTGTTCCATGGCCTCTGTTTGGAAAAAACGAAGGAAAAGAATATAAGAGACAGGCTTTCATGAGCACACACAGCTGTCACCAGTCCATTTGTTTCCCCCAAGGTTGCTCATTCCATGGTGGCCTCTGAGAGACAGGAGGTGCCACTGTTCAACACTCCTTCCAACAATCCCAGGACAGAACTATCAGTGCCAAACAGAAGCTGGCCTCATTCCACCCAGTTTTGCTTCCCTCCTCTATACACTGGAGTGACAGGTGGAGGTCAAAGACAAGAGAAGCAGGGCAGGAAACGGTGGATCTGGAAGGAGCTGGGCTGACACTGACTCTTGGCTTCTGAAGCAAAGGCAAGGACACAAACAACCAAAATTGAAAACCAAAATCCGTGGAAGAATTGGAGAGAAATGAGGCCTGAGGAGATTAGGTGCCTGTACCAAATAGGAGCCAGGTACAATTTTGAAATATGTGCCTGCTTTCTGTGTTAATATTTGCACGTTCTGCCCATGCTTAACACTTTGTCGTGGAGTACTATATTACTTCTTCCAAACACCTGGAGTGGACGGTGAAGATCATGCTCCCTTCTTAGAAGAAGAAAGGGCTTCTGATAATAAAGCCAAAATGACTTTTTGAATAAAGCTGTAGATGTTCCTGATTCAAGGGTGACTGCATTTGTGCAGATTTGCTTAAGATGTTAACATTGTTGGAAGGAAATGAATCAGAAAAACTTTTCAAGTTAGTTTAAGCTCTGTGATCCTGTGGCAGGCTGTGCAGCAAAATTTAAAGAGCAGAACAAAATGGCTCTGGCCTAAATTTTTAAGAATACTTTTAGAGAAGTTTCCAGTTAAGGAGGGTATGTCTGTCCAATGGACTTATAGACGCTGGTCTTGAAAAATTTAAATAGAAAATTAATGAAGTGAACAAAGCATCATGTTACAATATGTTCTCAAATGGTGATTTTTAAGTACAGAAAAAAATTCATATGAATAAAGTTTGCTTCTCTCAGTATCATCATTACCTTAATCTACTTTTAAATTTAATAACTAAAAAGAAAATTAAGTATACTAACTTCTTCTTTTGGTAGCTCTGGCCTTAAATACAAATAGGAATGTGAATATATTAGAAGTATATGTACAGATTTTGTGTATGTCTCTGGAAGGGAGTTTGTTTGCTGGCCAGCTCAATTTTTGACAAAGAAAAATGGGTTGCTCTTGCTTTTTGTACAAAGATGCACTGTTTCCACAGCAAACCCCACCCCTCCAGCAGAATTTCTGTTTAAGTTGAAAAAATTAAGATAATATATGGCATAATAATTTAGTATAAACTTTCTATGAACTGATAAGAATTGTGTATCTTGTTAGAATTAAAAATACAACTTTGTATTTTTTTTTGTACAAGAAGTTAAAATACTAAAATCTGGAAATTTCAACAGCAAGCAAGTTGCTCTAAATTTCATTGTTAGTACCTTGTCATTAAAGATCCAGTTTTTTTAAAAGCTGCTTTGTCCATGCAGTTGTACTGTACTCTAAAGTTTCCCAAAGAAACGAGGCAAAGTATTTGTGAAGTCAAGCTGCCTCCGCTCCTTCCCCAGAGCTGCCATCTGGACTTGTTTATTTGTGTTTCCAACTTTATGGAACAGAGAGTTTCTCTGTTAGGGACAGGGCATGGAGCAAAGGAAGTGTCTTACAGGAGGCTACCTTATTTCTCTTTTTACTTTTAAACGTTAAGTTTAATTTGGTCTACATGATCAAATGAATGGCTCACACAATCACAAAATTTAACACAGCTACCTCAGCAAACAATCTTCCATAATGTGATGGAAGCAGTATTTCCTACATGCTACTTTCTCATGCCTTTCAAATCTTGCTTGAAGCACAAACTGTCATTAAGGTTTATATAGCTATTTGGTCTGGAAATCAAATATTTCTCATGAATTCTTCTATAAATAAGTCTTTGATTTAAAAAACAAAGAGCTATTTCCAAGCGGCTTTCCGAATTTTGTACAGTACATATGAACCACGCAACAAAAAAAGAACAAAATTCTTTCCAAATATAATTAAGAAACAAAGCATTGTTAGATTGATCATACCATCTGACTAAGAAGAACAGTTTAAAATTTCACAAACCAACACTCAAAAAAGTAGTAGTTTTTTATCTTTGGAACATTTAACAGATAAAATAGAAACAAAAAGTACCTTGCAATGTAAAATCCAGCAATACATATTCGTAAGCAAATTCTGTCTTTGTTTCCACTTGCGGTCTCTTCAGGGTAGAAAATATTTTTCCAGGGCTGCTATCATCAGGGTCTTCTAGCTTTCTAAGTCCGCACCCCATTGCAAAATCTGTAAAGAATTAAATTGCAGGAAAGGGGAGGGAAAGCAGCAAATTCTGTTGTTTAAGCTGCAAAAAGAAAGTTACAGACTTTACTGCTTTGATTTTGTTTTCAGCTAAATCATAGATACCCAAAAAGAAAACATTTGGGTACAAAGAAAGGAGCTGGAGACTTTTACTATCCATTTTTCTGTAAAGTCATTGAACCCATGATTTAGCTACAGCTCCGGGAGGCTGGGCTTGATTTTAGAGAAACACGCAAGCTGCTACAACTTAGCGGAGAATTTCCATGCCACGTCAATTTACAGCCAGCCCCCTACCAGAGTTCTGTCGCTCAGAGCACCAACAGTGCTTTGTCTGTCCCAGCTGGCTGGATGATAAAAGAGGTGTCCGAAAATGGAAATAAAAAAGCAAAAGTGCAACTTAGATGTAACTATCTGCAAGTAGAAGATATGTTCAGACGAGGGGCAGACAAATCTTTCTCTGTTTTCTCTCTTCCCTCTGTCCTGTGCCCAACCTCCTTCCTCCGTTACTACCAAGAAAGCAAAAGCAGGGAGTTGGGGGGGGCGGGGGGAGAGAAATGGATTGTCAACATGGTTGGCAACAAAAATCATTTCCAGAAAGGAACTTAGCTTTATTGGGAAGATGTTTCTGGTGCCTAAAAGGAGAAAAGTAAAGTTAAAAACGTGTCTTAGTCTTTAGCTAGCACTTTTGAGGATTTAGTTCCATATGAGATCTTTTTTTTCATGGAAAAATCATATGCTGATTCAAACTGCCAATTATAAAAAATTTACATAAAAATATTTGCATGAGGCTTTTATTTAACGGCAAAGGAGATAGAGTTGTGTGGATGATTAGTTTCCTCAACATCCTTAAATAGTTTAAAATACTCTGTTATTAGAAGGGCTATGATAGCAACTGACATAGAATTTGAAAGTATCCTTACTTAAAAACAAAACAAAAACAAAAACCAAGACACTGATAACTTGATTCATTCAGTCATATAAGTTGTTATTTGCTTGAGGTCAAGAACAACTTATAATGGACCAATTGTATTGAGTGCTTATTGATTGCATTTTACCATTTGCAGGTCAGGGAGTGTGGTGCACTGATCAAAACTAGGAACCCTGGAGTCAGGTGCCTCAGTTCGAATCCTGCTCCTGAGGCCCACCAGATCTTGGGCAAGTTGTTTGACCTCGTCCAGTTGCAATTTCCTCCTCTGTAAAATGGAGGTAAGTTCATGTAAAATGTACTTACTTCACAGGTTTGTTATGAGGGCTAAATGAGATAATCTTATCTCCTATCTTAGCACTATGCCTGGCTAATAGTACAAAATATGTATGTTAATGTGTGTACATTATAAATAGGTTGGGAGAAGGAAGTGATTCTGTTACTGCTCCTCCTGTTATCTACAAAAGAAACTGATCACTTTTGAGATTTTAGAGAACACAAACCTGAAACCATTTTCAATCACATTAAAGAGAGCCCATGGAAACTCAAAAGGGAGATGTATTATTTAGTTTCCAGATCACTATTACCTTTTGTCTCTTCCTTATGTCTGTCTTTAGATGTCTTACTTCTCACAAGTGATTTATTCATTTATTTTAAAAGATTTATTTATTTATTTGAAATGCAGAGTTACAGAGAGACAGAGGCAGAGAGAAAGAAAGGTCTTCTACATGCTGGTTCATTCCCAACAATCACCTGCAGCTGCGCAGATTCTAAACCAGGAGGCAGGAGCTTCTTCCAGGTCTCCCACGTGGATGCAGGGGCCCAAGGACTTGGGCCATCTTCTATTGCCTTCCCAGGCCATAGCAGAGAGCTGGATTGGAAGAGGAGCAGCCAAGACTAGAATTGGTGCTCATATGAGGTGCTGGCACTATAGGTAGTGCCCCTGATTTATTTATTTATTTAACTTATTTGAAAGAGATGGAGGGGGGATACACACACACACACACACACACACACACACACATATATATATATAGAGAGAGAGAGAGAGAGAGAGAGCGCGCTCCCATTTGCTGGTTCACTCCCCAAAGCTAGGAGCCTGGAACTCAATCTTAGTCTCCTACACAGGTGGGACCCAATTACTTGAGTCATCACCTGCTGCCTCTGAGGGTGTGATCTCACAAGTTTTTTTTATTTTTATTTTATTTTATTTTTTTTTACGATTTATTTATTTAAAAGGTAGAGAGAGGGAGGGAGAGAGAGTTTTCCCACTGGGTCACTCCTCAAATGCTGGCAACAGTCAGAGCTGGATCAAGTTGAAGCCAGGAGCCAAGAACTCCATTCAGGTTTCACACGTTGGGTGGCAGGGACCTAAGCATTTGGACCATAATCTGTTGCCTTTCCAGGCACATTAGCATGAAGCTAGATTAGAAGTGGAATAGCTGGGACTCAGATTGGCAATCTGATAAGGGCTGTAGGATTTCCAAGTGGCAGCTTAACATGCTGTGCTGTAATGACTGTCGCTCACAAGTGTTTTTAACAGAGGAAAAGGTTTTTCATGCCCAAGGATGAGCATGGTTAGTGGTAAGCAATTTCTGGGTAAATTTGGCAGGAAAGACAGCAGATTCTGACCCAGTGAGACTCATTTGACTATTCATAATGCTTTCATGCTTGTCATGTTTCATGTTGTCTTTTATAGGATAGTATGGCAGAAGTGAAATATTTGAAGATACGTATTGCAGTGCCTAGAAGAGTATTAAGAAGCGTTTCTATCTACTAAATGTCTGCTATATGCCAGGCAATGAACTAGATGTGATGTATGTAAGATGACTAAATGTAGCCTCTATCTTAAAGAAATTTATGGTTTAATGGGGATGACAGACTAAGTTGACGGATTATTTCAATATGGTTTGGTAGCTGCTAAGAATGAATTATGCATAGGATGCTAAAGGAACCCAAGAAGAGGCCTCTAACTCAGTATGGAGGATGACATCTGAGCTGTCTTCAAGGATGAATATGTGTAAACTGGATAAAGAAAGATGGGGAGCCAGTGTTGTGTAGAAGATCCAGCTCCCTGCTAATGGCCTGGGAAAGCAGCTGAGGGCAGCCAAGTGATGGGGCCCTGCACCCACGTGGGAGACACAGAAGAAGCTCCAGTCTCCTGGTTTCAGCCTGGACCAGCCTTAGCTATTGTGGACATTTGGGAAGTGAGCTAGTGGATGGAAGATCTCTCTCTCTCTCTCTGTGTATGTGTGTGTCTCTCTATTTCTACTCTGCCCTTCAAATAAATAAATAAATCATAGACACACACACACATACACACACACACACATGTGGGGAGGGGGCATATGCCAGGAGGAGAGAAAAGCCTAAGCAAAATAACGGAATCATAAAGCAGTATGGCACAAATCAGGACTATGAAGCATTGAGAATTACAGGGGTATAAATTGTGAAAAACAATGACCACCACCACAACAATCAAATCCTTTCAAGCTGTAAGGGAGGCAAGGGCTAAGCTGTAATGGGCTTTTCAGGCCATACAAGGGGGATTTGGATTTTTTTAGGCAACAAAGGGGAGTCAAATAATCAGATGGGGAGTATGAAGCAGGCAAGTACCATCAGTTTGTAGACTGGAGGTTGCTTGAGGCAAGAAGGGAGGGAGATCAGTCAGGAGGGTAATGTCCAGTTGACAGCTGGCGACTGATTGAATGAACAAATGTGGTGGTGTGTCAGTAGGTCTTTAATGAATTTCTTTTACTATTAGTAAATAAACCAAAGATTCCTTAAGTTTACAATTAAGCAATCACACAATTTTCTCTCTAAAATTCCAACAAAATGAAATTTTATTTGAACCTCAGTGATAGCTCAAAAACACTTTCATTTATCAATACGCAACATTCCTGCTATTTTAACAATGATTGTCAACTCTCTATAATCTGGGGGGCTAGTATCCAGATTCAACTAGTTGGGCATAAGAAATGCTGGAAGCATAGCCCTGACTGTTAATGAACAACTTAATACATTATCCCTCTTAGTAGTTTTTTTGTCTGTTCTACTTAATATGACTGGTTTAATTCTGTAATTAATACACAGTTATTCTTAAGTGTTGAAATGTAACTGAAATGTGATCCCTGTTAAACATAAGAGTAGGAATAAGAGAGGGAAGAGATATATAATTTGGGACATGCTCAAGCTGACTTGCCCCAAATGGTAGAGTTAGAAACATACCAGGGGACTCCAATTTAATCCCATCAAGGTGGCATGTACCAATGCCATCTCACTAGTCCAAGTGATCAATTTCAGTTCACAATTGATCATAATGAAAGGACTAAGAGTCAAAGGGAGCACATAAGCAAGTCTAGTACCTGCTAACACTAACCGATAGAATAAATAAAGGGGAGAGTGATCCAACATGGGAAGTGAGATACTCAGCAGACTCATAGAATGGCAGATGTCCTAAATAGCACTCTGGCCTCAGAATCAGCCCTAAAGGCATTCGGATCTGGCTGAAAAGCCCATGAGAGTATTTCAGGCATGGAAAGCCAAGACACTCTGGCAAAAGATCTCTGTGAGTGAGATCTCAGTGGAAAGAACAGGTCTTCAAAGAAGGAGGTACCTTTCTCTGAAGGGAGGAGAGAACCTCCACTTTGACTATGACCTTGTCTAAACAAGATAAGAGTCGGAGAACTCAAGGGGCTTCCATAGCCTTGGAAACTCATGACTGGAGCATAGGGGGATTGCTGATGCCATAGACAGGAGTGTCAATTGGTAAAGTCAACAACAGGAGTCACTGTGCACTTACTCCTCATGTAGGATCTCTGTCCTTAATGTGCTGTGCATTGAGATTTAATGCTATAACGAGTACTCAAACAATATATTTCACTTTGTGTTTCTATGGGGGTGCAAACTGTTGAAATCTTTACTTAATGCATACTAAACTGATCCTCTGTTAAAAAAAAAAAAAAAAAAAAGAAAGAAAAGAAAAGAAACTATCAACTCCCAACTTGACTCTCACTGGGATTAAACATGACAATAGGTCTGATCTGATTTCATCATCATTAAAAAAATCATCTATTATTTTTCACTTTATGTTTCTGTGTGGGAGCAAACTGTTGAAATCCATACTTAATGTATACTAAGCTGATCTTCTGTATATTAAGATAATCGAAAATGAATCTTGATGTGAATGGAAGGGGAGAGGGAGTGGGAAAGGGGAGGGTTGTGGGTGGGAGGGACGGTATGGTGGGGAAGCCATAGTAATCCATTATTCGTACTTTGGAAACTTATATTCATTAAATAAAAGTTAAAAAAAAATTAAAAAAAAAAGAAATGCTGGAAAAAATTGCATCTATATTGAACATGTACAGACTTTTTATTATACCCTAAATAATACCATATAACAACTATTTACTTAGCATTACATTATATTGGTATTATAAGTAATCTTGTGATGATATAAAATATAGGGGAGGACGTTCATAGGTTATATGCAAATGGCATCATATTTTATTATAATGCCCTTGAACATCTGTGGGTTTTGGTCTCCTCATAAGTCCTGGAACCAATACCTTGCCTATAATTAGGGATGCTTATAGTTGGAATTTAACTGTATTAAATGTAATATTTAACAAGTAACATGAGTTATTTTCAAATTTTTACTGTGGGGCTGGTGCTGTGGTGCAGCAGGTTAAAGCCTCAGCCTGCAGCACCGGCACCCCATATGGGTGCCAGTTTGAGTCCCAGCTGCTCCTCTTCCAATCCAGCTCTCTGCTTGGCCTGGGAAAGCAGTAGAAGATGGCTCAAGTCCTTGGGCCCCTGCACCCGCTTGGGAGACCTGAAAGAAGTTTCTGGCTCCTGGCTTTGGATCAGCTCAGCTCTGGTCGTTGAAATCATTTGGGGAGTGTATCAGCAGAATGGAAGACCTCTCTCTCTGGCTCTACTTCTATCTGTAACTCTGTCTTTCAAATAATTAAAGTAATTCTTCAAAAAACAAAAACAAAAACAAATTTTTACTGTGAAGGTTTTTGTAAATATTACCTCTGCCTCACTTTGAATAATTTCCTAAATACTTAGATTTTACTTAATAAATGGTCAAATAACTTACAAACAAGGAAATCAGAAAGTAATAACCACAGAAAATTCATTCTATTGACTAAACAATGTATTTGTATTACTTATATAAGCACGCGATTTACCATAAAACTGTGGTATAAAACTATGAGGTATTGCCCTCATAGATTTTAAGCTTGTCAATTTTCATTACATATTTTGCCCCATACTT